TCAACCTCATTCTTGTGTTCTAGACGCCAGATTTCAAATTAAGCGTCGTTCTTTATCACTAATGATAGAAGCCCTTCAAAGTCCACAAAAACTCCAAAAATAAATCATTTCTTCCTGTGCCCTTCAAGCATTAGGAAGGAAATTGTAAAGCATGACCCTCTTCTCATTCTTTAATAGGAGTCCATTTCTATGATCTATTTGCTGTCCTCTTATTTGTTTTTCAAAAAAATTCTCTCTTAACAAAAAAATGCTTTCTAACAAAAATAAAACCACCAAAAAAAATACAGAGCTTATCCTCAAATCCCATAAACCCCAAAATCAGTAGAGTATAAGATCACATGACACATATTTCATTGTACAACATGACGAAACTTCCATGGCATCCCTTGGCTTATGGAATGACCCAGCAATAGAGAGGGAGGGGGGAGAGGGAGTACAAGTTTCAGAAAGCAAGACATACCTATCATAATACTGATGTAACTTTTTGGTTGGAAATCTCAGAGCTTGGACATATATGTGAGCAAGATAAATCCACTGTTGCTGGGAAAACTCAAAATGAATATACTTATCCCACAAGGTATGACATAAGTAGTCCTTCCCAACAAATGAAATGGCTCTCTTAAATAATCTGCCGAAAATCACAGAGCAAACCTATCTAATTACCCTTGAGTCTCAAAATGGAAGAGCAACCATGCGGAGATACTTGAGTATGAAAAGAGACTAGTAAAATCAAATCAGTTCAGTATCACATTATTACAAGGAACATGATAAATATTGGCAGATACGTGCATGGTGATGCATGCACTCACGTACTTATACAAGAAAGAGTAGGTACCAAAGTCCGTTAACATTGACGGAAGACTTAACACAGTTACAACATATAGTAACTATACATCAAATATGATTTTCGTCAATCCCAAGATTGCATCATGACATGCATTCATGTTGATCATGTATATTAGTTGTTCATGAAGAATTTCAGAAAATAATGACTTTTGAAATTTCTTATTTTATTTCAAACACATGGCAAATTATAGGAGAATGCAGGCCGCTGAAGGTTTATCCAATCACCCTCCAAAGGGAAAAATTGAACAAAGTTAAAGTTCGCTCTATTTTCACCTTTTATTTTATTTTATTTTATTTATTCACTTTTTTGGAATCTGGCAATCTGACATGAGATAGAGAAGATATTAACAGGAAAAAGGACGAAGTAGCTGATGTGCTGATGAAATTGGAGAGAAGGAACTAGGCATACTCAACAGGATTTATAATAATCATTGAAAAGACAATTCCAAATTGGGCCATTTCTCTCAGCATTTGTTTAATGAGCGGTGCTAGTTCAGAAATAATTGGAGACTAGTTCTCACGTTGTAGTATGGCTACTTCTCTTTAAATAAGTTGTTTAGTACATGGCTAAAGTTGGATTGCGCATAAACTTTAGACCATTTTTTATTGGTCCAGTATAAACCTGGGACACAACACAAAAGGCAATTTTCACAACGTGTGACTTTTGCTAAAATTTGGTGTATTTGGTGGGAAAGGAATGCTAGGAGCTTTAAAGGTGTTTCAGCAACTATAATTTATGAATGATTAAAAAGAATCTTGCGTCCCTATGGTGCTCTGTTCATGATTTTTTGTGACATCGTCATTTGCTTAAATTCTAGCGTTCTTATCCCTTTTATTTTTCCCTTTAAGAGAATGTCCAAGCCTCCTATCATGTAATCTCTTTCTTTCAAATAAAATTTCCATTTCTATTTTTAAAAAATAAAAATAAGAGATTTAGAGGAAAATTGTGAAATTTTAGAAATTGTTTGGGTTTTTACATACTTTTTCACCAACAAATTTATCATCATTTTCATCTCACTGTTAGAAGCAGATAGCTCACTGTAATTCAATTGCTGTGGGTAGCAAAACTTCCACTTAAAACACACACAAAATTCAATGGGTTAGAACACTTGTAACATAACAGGCATAGAGAGATGTCAAGAAACCATGACATCAATTTATTAATTCAATTAAAGAAGACCAAAAAATAAATATTTAAATTTTCCTTCTTACTATAATGCAATGCTTTTATAATATTCATAGGTAGAGATGGAAATAATAAACTTGATCCACTATGTCACCTTCGAATATCAGATGGATCCTCGAAAGCTGACATACAAAAGCTACAATAGTCAACCCACACTTCTACTGAATACATTGCTGATTGCACAGCTCGTTCGAAGACTTCAACAACTTTATCTATCGTACATAGGTGAATCATGTGGGCCGCATATTTCCACCAATACCCATAGCATAAAGGGAACTGAGACAAGAAATGGTCGTAAACTAGGCATATTTTCTCCATGTCATCCTGCAGAAATCATAACAAGTCAATCTTTTATTTTTCATTTTCCTTTTTCTCCAATGTCAATATAATAATGTCTAAAAAGGCATTCCCCACTGTCAAAGCCACTCACTAATTCTTCCTCAAGAGAATGTAAATCACATATTATCCCTCATACCATCTGTTTCAGCCATTAAAATTCACTTTAGTATCGTCATGCCTTGGAACTCCTAGCATCTTCTCGAATAAATAAACCACCTCACCTTTGACTAAAGTCTTCCCTGCTCTCAGTTTAAGCTTATATTTATCTAAGCTGAAGGCTTTTCTTTGCCTTTTCCAGGCTCCATAGTCTCCTATAAGGACTAAAAGCTTGCTCAAGGTGCTCAGCTATTTCCCTAACCCACCTTTTAAGGCTAATATCTTGATGATCTATGCTACACTGATCTACATCCATCCCAAAGAAGCCTACCAAAGACATTTGTGCCCAGCAACACAGGAAACTTATTGGTGGATGCAATATCATCAAAATAGAGGACAGAATATGGAAGTTATCAATATGTTCATTTTTCATAAAACTATTCAGAGAAATGCTGCAAAAGTCAGATAAAACAGATGGAAACCACAACAGAAACTAGGATTTTATACTAATATTAAAAGCAAGATTACCAAACAGAAAACCAGCAGTAAAGCAAATCCCCCTAGTTATTTGGAACTATAGGTATCCCCCATGCATCCACCCTGGAATTTTCCTCCTCTCTTCTTTCCCTCCACTCTTTCAAACCTCAGACAATTACCGCCAAAATTGGCAGCCAAAATTACCCAAAAACTGAACCCAATAGTGCCTACAACTACTTAAAACGGTTGGTACTTAACTGTCAATCCCCCTTATAATAAAGATGATTATGTTATATTGACATCAGATATGTTCACAATAAAAAGAAACTCAATTACTATTCTCAAGAGTTCTCATAAACATACAGGATAAATAGTCTCAATCTTTGAAATTAGTGCAGTCCATCCATCAAAATCTAATGAGTCCTCGGAAATAACTTCTTTAAGATTGAGATCGTCAAAGCCAGCTGCAAGAATAAGTCAGAAGTTTCTTAAATTAATTGGATAAGCAAATGAAAGTTATAAACATATTAGTAATTGGCATAAACTTATACCAATGCATGAGGGGGAAAATATAAATAACGGCTAATCTCTGAAAACCTTAGAAGAAGAAAAATCCAAAAACAAGCACCAAAAGTAAATGCTGCAGAGCGAGATGAGTCAGTAGTTCTCCAAAAGAAGTGTCTAGAACTACAAAAGCATGCCATATAGAAGCAAATAGATAGACAAAACATTGCCATCAAGCTATCAAGCATATTTGTATACTTTCCCATATGATATATAAATTTCTGCAGGATGTGAAAAAATACTTTTCTTCATAAAAAAGAAAAGACTTCCTATCTTTGGGACCTGATATTAAACTGCTCAGAAACTTGGGATATCCCCATCATCACATAGCTGGATTCCTGAATTTTCAATCTTAAGTATGCAGTTCTTATTACATTAGCACAAAACCGTTGTTAGAAACAATCCTAATTTTCATACGAGCAAAGTTCCGCTAATACTGAGAGACATCCATCCACTTCCAGAGAGTGGAGAAAGACTCCTAACTATCCCAGAAAGAAGAGAGCAACAGAAGCACATTAATGAATTTCCCAAAATGAAGCAAAAGTGAAAATTACGGGTTGATTGTAGAGAGCAGAGCTCCGCCATTAGAGGCCACTTCTAGGATATATGAACGAAAAGAGAGATGGGCGAAGCGTTTTCCCTTCGATCGGAGTGAAGAGACTGTTTCTGTGTGTTACCCAAGTTCGGTCGAGCCAGCGGCAGGAATGGCAAAATAAACTGCGACTAATATCAAAATTATTTGGCTCGAAATAATTAATATTAGGATTGATTATTATGTAAAAAAATTTATTTTTTCCATTCTGGCAAAAAAAAATTTTTTTCCTTACTTATAGAACTTTCTAAAAAGTTATACTGAAAAAAATATATTGCTCAAATTTTAAATATCTCTGGTGACAAAAGAAAATTGCTGATATATGATATTCTGTGTATTTTCCAAGATAAATATATCAAATAGGGAGAATGACAAAAAAAAAACAGAAAATTGCATAATTTTAAATTAATAACTCTTAAAAAAATGTGTTGTTATTTCTAAATTAAGTTTAATCTTAAAAAATAAATTTATGATTTAGTAATTTTAAGTTCTTTTTTATCATTTTCTCTATCGAATATCAAGTCTGCGTAATACTTAAATCTAAATGCGGCATTATTGAATCAGTACAAAATAAGAGTGATTTTTGTAATGTTAATGGTGTTTAATTTTTAAGTTTTATGATAATTTTAATATAATTCCTACAGGTTGGCAAAAAAATATAATTCTTTTTTTTGGCCAAAAGCAAAAAATAATAATTATATACAAAATTATAATTCTACGAGATAAAAAAAATAATTCTACGAGATAAAATAATCATACACTTTATTTTCCTATAAATGCAAATTTATATAACAAAATTGAATGCTTTGGGATTTTTTTTTTTCCCCCCATTTTCCCTATGAAATCAAATATCGACCCCAAGTTCCTTTTGAAAAATAGTTTTTCGGAAATGAGTCTGATTTTTGTCGTTCTAATTGTCCTTCGTCTTTGGATAATTGGATTTGGGATGGCCAGCTGACGGTGACAATACCGAGCAAAGGATGATGCAGAGAACTTCGCTCCTCTGTTCTTCCAGTGCGTTCTCTTCCTTGGCCAGCCCTCCTTCAACTTCTCATCGACAAGTTCTTCCATTTCAGCTACCTCCTTCCTGTGTTCTTGGCGTCTCCAAATGCATCCAATTCCCTTTCAATCCGCCTGCAACTTCAACAAGACTACTTACTTTCCCAGCTTTGCACACCACTGGTAAAAGTCACTTGATTTTTTTTTTTTGCCTAAAGTTTTCTCTCTCTGGTTTTTATATAATTGGAAACTGTTTATGTAATTTTGTTGCTCTACTCTATCCTTTTTGCAGTAGGTTGTAATGAGTTTTCTCTTGAGAAAGAAGCTATATAATATCATTTTTGTACTTGAAAATCCTGAAAAAAAAAAAGGAGACTTTCCCCTGATTAAATGACTAAAAAAAAAACCTTTTTGATGGGGCTAATTGATACTGGAGGGCCAAAGTAACGTTTTGCTCATTCTTCTAATAGATTGCTTGAGTGGTAATTGTTGTAGTTTATTTTGTCCCTCTGACCTTCGCTGCCTTTTGTCCTGGAATTCTTTGTTCTGTCATGCTTGTATTTGTTCTGATTACTCTACACTCCACTCAAAACCGTTTTTACTCGTGGTGGATTGGTAATTTATTATTCCAATGCCGTATTGTGGTTGATTGGATTATTTATCTGCCCAGTTTTAATGAAAGCTTTACTTAGATGAATGATAAAAGCTCAGACTGGTTGAAAGATGGACATGTGATCCATAAACTGATTACAGTGGAATAAGAATATATATATATATATACACATATTGTTTTTCTTTAACGGTAAATCAATGTTTTTCCTGGCTTCTACCTTCTGAGCCATCTCAAAAGTATTTTATGTGCTTGGTAAATGCATTATTAATAATGAGCACTATGAAATATTTACTCTGAATAAATCGGTGTATGTATATATGTGAATATATTCATGTGTATGCCTAATTAAATTTACGAATAGTGATATTGATAGATATCAATTAATTATTGCTGGTCGAAAAAAAAATATATCAATTAATTATTGATGGATATGGAGCTGCAGGGCTCTCTCTCTCTCTCTCTCTCTGTGGTGTGCGTGCGTGTGTACTTGGTTATTTTCTTTTGAAATTCATTTATAAACGTTTCATATTAGATTGACATTTTTTTTTATTCAACTTACAGCTATTGACGAGATTGTTGAAACGAGCGATACTAGATCAGGATTTGTAGACATTGGATACATCTCCAGTGTTCATGGTCTTCAAGGGGAAATTCGTGTGAAACCGAACACTGATTTTCCTGAACTACGGTTTTCAAAAGTAAAACTTTCATTAATTTTTGTCTAGCAATATAATATGTTTGTAATTTTCAAAGTATGTACTGGACATGACAAAAGCTAAGGGTAAATTATTATTGCAGCCTGGGAGAAGATGGTTGAAGCAAAACGTTTCAGGTGGAGAAATGATTCAAGAAGTTGAACTGGAGGAAGGAAGAGAGCACCCTGGACAGAAGAGTTGGATACTTAAATTCAGAGGAATTGACACTGTGGAGCAGGTGCTTGCTGACAGTGTGTTGTTTCAAATCTTCTTGTTTTATATTGTTCAATAGCTCATGCACTGCCCATATAAATACCCTTTGGAGGGATTGCTATGCCCTCCATCGGGCAGGTCTCTTCCTTTATATGCTTTCAGCTGGAAGTTTCAAATTTTTTATTTTGTCATGGCTTGTGTAGTCATATTATATTCATTTTTGTTCAATACATTGCAGGCTAAGATGCTCATTGGCTCTACCTTGCTTGTCACAAAAGATGACAGGCCAGAGTTAGAGGAAGGTGAATTCTACACGAATGATCTTGTTGGCATGAAAGTTTTCATGAAGGTTTGGGCTTGTCATGAATCTTACGTTTGGTGTATTCAAAGATATGTGATTGCATTACTTCTTATCATATACCTACTTTGCCAAATAATCTTTTCTTTGGCCTTGAAATGCATCACTCAACACTGACCATACTTCATCCCATCAGGAGAGTGGTGAACCCTTGGGAACTGTCGTTAATGTTTTCAATAGTGGAGCCAATGATCTTCTGCAAGTTTTGCTTGATCCGTCTTTTGATATCCTTGACAAAACCGGTAAGCCCAGGTCGGCAGAAGCAGAAGCCTCCAATCAGCTTGTTTGGGTACCTTTTGTAGAAGCAATCGTACCAGATGTTGATATGAAAAGAGGAGAAATGCATGTTACGCCACCAAAGGGACTCCTAGAACTAAACTTACGATCTGATGAGAGATCCAAAAAAGAAAGACGCCAACTTGTGAGGCATACTCTTCTGACTCTATCTTTGATTTGCTAATTTTAGGGACCCTGCGCTTTTGGGCATGATTATTGCCCATGTTGTCCTACCTTTCTTAATCTCTTTAACCGTTAGGGGGAATCCTTATGTTAAAGTACTATGATCTATCATTTGGCTTTGGTTTGACACTTTGTTTCACTTTGTGCAATGCCTACTGGTTGATTTACATGATTCCTAACCCAAGGAGACTTAGACTGCCATAATGTAGCATTCAGCTGAACCTATCATCTATACTGCTGGATTACTTTTGTTGATCAGTTTTTTCTGTTTGACTGAGTTAATCATATCTGACTAGATGATTGTGTCATGGATCAATGATACCAATTCTTCGTTACTTATAGATCATTCATTTTCTTGGGTATATTTCAGGAATGGAAAGAAAGGAAGAAGTTTCAAAAGCGTCTCATTGCTGCAAAAAAGAAACTGTGTGAAATGGAGCAACAACATGTATTCCATGGATTTAGATATGGAGAGAAAGAACAAGGGAGATTGCTTGCTGATCAGATTGTTTCTGTAAACTCTATATTGCTTCAGAATGCTTTACAGCATATTGAGAAACCACCCAAGAGGTAAGTTAGCTGAACTGATCATATGATGTCCCAACTCCCCTGTCCTACTGCTATAAAAAGGGAAGAGAAATTGTTTTATTATGAGAATAATCTATTGTTATCTAAATTATTTTATTATTTGATACATACAAGACTTAGAAAAATAATGTGAGAGTTCACCATGATATATAGAAACTCTTCTTTTTTTTTTTCGGTTAAACCCTAAACCATGACACATAGAAACTTTTTTAGCAAACGATCATTCTGAAGGTCTGTTGAACACCAAGGTTTGAATACAACTTTCTATCCTCTAACATACATAATAGGACATTACTCGTTGGTTAATTTGTCACAATGTTTGTTGTTTTGTGGCTCTTCTAATGCGATGTCTGGTGTTCTCTCTTTTTTTCACTTATCCCTCATGTAATTTATTGGCATATAGTTACTGAAATTTTACCTTTACTAACCAGATGGGAAGTAGCTGAGTTGGTTGGTAGTTTGGATGTAAAGCTTGTAAGCACTAAACAAATACCAAAGGAATCTCTCTCCAGTGAAAGTAGAGAAAAATTGGGCGAGAATATCACCATGCATGAGAAGGGACTTCATCTCATATCTGGGGGCAAAATGGCTATTGTCCTGCTTTTAAATGAAAAGGAGAACTGGGGTGGCATTTGTGACCCTGATACTACTTCAAATGAAGCAACTGAGATTTCATCAGCTCCCCTCCTTCAGAAATTACTCTCTGATGAAAATTTTGTAAAGGTTTTGAACTCTGATGAAAATTCTTTTGGTCATATGGTTAAAATTGATATCAGTAAAGCTGATTTCTGAGAAATTGTTTAGCTGTGACTTTCTGAAGTGGCACTAAAATATTATAAATAAGAGTAATGATGTTTGTTGCTGTCTCTTGGTCTTTAATATAGCACCTCTGTCTATTGTCTAATAAATTTGTTCTCATAAAGTTGTGTTTTTTTCAGGTGGAAGATCGTGCTTCTGTGCCTTTAATTTTGGTTTGCTCCACCCAAGAAATTGTGTCTTTAAGAAAGCTGTTTTCAAGAAACAATTACTTTGCATTTGACTCTAAAAAGGTTCTCATTGTGCTTAGGGTCTTCTTTATACCATGTATTGCCTTACTAACAGTTGACTAAATTTTGACTCAAATACTTCCTCCTTCCTATCAATTTAGTCATATAGATCTTCATATTGCCTCTCAAATCATATAATATCAATCGTGTGCTTGTCTAACGAGCTTCATGGGGGATATCTGACTACTTATCTTATGCAACTGCTGTAGGTTTGGTTTTTGGAGGAAGAGAAGCTGCCAGTTGTTAGCAGTTTGCTGGAAGGACAGAGCAAGCATAAAATTTTAATGAAGTCACCATGGGAAATACTCCAATCTTCTGTTGGATCCGGAGGAGTTATCAGCTTGTTTTCATCGCATGGCATAGTAGATGATCTTAGTAACATGGGTGTTGAATACATTGAGGTTAGATTCTTATTTACTCATTAATTTGACTTCTCATGTTTTGACGCATAACCCTTTTAGCTAGACTCGGCAAATGAAGTCTCATCAAGGTTCCCAGGTTTTGAACTGCTGCAACTGCTAGCACTGGCTGTCATGTTATTGAATGCTAAAGCCTTTTGGGCTTAATGCCCAGAACTTGAGTAGGTTAATCAAGGTTGGATGTTTATACATAGGATGGTCCTAGTAATTTTTTGACCTTTCCTTCTTTTTTATCTTGGTCAGGCTTGGATTTACGGATGTTACGGTTGGATGTCAACTTTGCTTTTCATTAATTTTCTCTGTGCTCATACGCATACAGTAAATTTATGTAGGATTTCTAAGTCTCTTTTTTTCGGTTGCTGTTCTAGATATCTCAATAAAGCTACTAAACAGAACTTTTTTTTTTTAACAATATATCTAAAGATTTGATTGTTGATAAAATACAATAGTGTTATACAACTCATGTAGCCGACCTTACCTAATAAAATAAAATTTGTCGTTGCTATTGCTACTGTTCTGGATGTGCTATAATTGCTTTGTTTATTTGATGTTTTGACTGAGTTTAGTGAAATGTGCAGCAAGAATTTTATCTTGCACATGATGCCATATATACTTGTTTTAAACTGATTCATTTGTGCTGTACATTGCTGCAGATATGCTGCCCTAGTGAAAGAAATGTCGGTGGCAACTCGCTTCTTCTTGGGTTCGTGAATTCACGAGAAGCAAATATTGGGATCCAAATTTCTCCAACGGGGGGCGATTCAGATGAAAATATAGACATCATACTCTCAATGGAATTTATGAAGGAGCTGATGAAGCAGATCAACAATCTCCAATTCAATGCAATCCCAAAGGCAAATTCCTTTGTTGAGAAGGTTGACAAAGATTGGGTTACTGTCACATCCTCCACACCCAATTCATATGAGTTTTGTTGTAGTATTTATAGTTCCTTGGACGTATGCTCATTAGATAAGGTTTGTGTAATGGAGGTTACAGAATAGTTGATAAATAGTTTTGGTCTATGAATAGACTGTAAAGTCACTGATGTAAAATGTAACAGGTCGGATCTATCAGCCACAAGGGGAAAAAAAAAAAGTTCATTTTATTGGTCAAATTCAAATATGCTAATGCTAAGATTTCAGGTCCAAATGAAAAAAGGAATAATAAGTGCTTGTTTGGTCACCATTGGATAAAAACGCTTATGCAAGGTGTTGAAAACCAAATTTTTCTTATATACTTATCTTATATTCTGTAAATTATGATTGGAAAGTTATTTTTGAAGAATTTACTCATTCTAAATGAGAACTAAAATTGACTTACTATGGGATCCAAACTTCAACATTATTTAGTGCCGAGAGCATGCTAAGCCAAGCCTCCAAAACACATATTGTACCAGCATTTGGTAGTGGTGTAGCCTCGGATTCTAAATACATCAGTAAAGTGGCTTACTGTGCTTCTAAATACATCAATCTTCTTTGTCTTTATAATTTATACTTTTTTTTTTTTTGGCAAATATGTCTATTGATGGTACGTATAAAAAAAGTTTCAATTAAGCGATAATGTTAATGTAGTAAATAATTAAAAAATTTCTTTTAAGGGAACAACCTCAAAAATAAAATAATACATAAATTTAATTTAATCTAAAATAATATTTCATTCTCTCGAAAAAATTAGATATATTTCTTGAAATTTTGCAAATAATTATTATGTATTAATTATAAAATAATCATTTATTTATCATATCTTAATCCAAAATTTATTTTATTATGGACTTATGGATTAGGATCTAGTTAATAGGAAATAAACTATTCATATTTTCATGCCAAGTCATTCATAATTTTGAACAATTCTTTTGGACTTCAATTACAAAAACATAATTTGGCCAAACAGAACGGATCAATCGCCACATTGCATAAAACCAAAATGATTGATTATCTCATAATTTAGAACCACTACTTCTCCCAAAATGCCGAAACGATTTTTTTTTTTTTAATTTCTTTTTACATCTCTAATGTGTATTACTCGGGTTTTTGACCTGCTTAGGAAAATTCTTAAACCCACTTGTTTCCTTTTTTGTCATTTCTTTGTAAACAGTACTCTTCCTATTCAAAATATAAGATAAACTTTGTTAAAGGGGTTTGATTTTTTAACAAGATCACATTCATTTTTGTTTAAGCATTTAATAAGTTTTTTTTTTCAATTTTACCCCCTAACATGTATTCTCTTTATTTTTTGATTCATTTACTGTATTTTTTTACTTATTATCTTTATTAATAAAGACATATTTAAAAAAAATACATACCTTTCATATTTATTATTTTAAATTGATTTTAAATAATTTTTTAATAAACGTAAGTAAATAAAATTTATCTTATATTTTGAATGGGAAAGAGTAGATATAGTTTTCGTCAAAAAAATAAAAGAAAAGAAAATTTTTAAAACTGGAGTAGCGGCAGTTCCAAACAGACCCTTAATGGAAAATTTTGACAATTTTCTGAACCCGGGTTAGATGAGAAAACCCTAGCCGCAATTCATGGCTCCACACGCCTATATAAACTGGTCCAAGCTTCTCACGAATTTGAAGCTCCGGGGTGAAGCAAACCCTAATACGAAGTGAGTCTCTGCCTCTCTGCCGTTTTCCTGCCCCACATATCTCCTTTATATCATATTCAACTTGTTCTCCATAGAAATGGAGTTGAGTATGGATTTGTCCCGTCTACATTTTGTTGTCTTAACCTTAATTTTTGTTGTACCCTTTTGAAGAACCAGGTAAGCGAAAATGGCCGTGCCGCTTCTTTCGAAGAAGGTCGTAAAGAAGAGGGTCAAGAAGTTCAAGAGGCCTCAGAGTGATCGCAAGATCTCTGTTAAGGTATCGGAATGTCTTCTCTTGCTTATGGGTGCGGTATCTGTTGGAGATTAGATACTTTGTCCGAGTGACTTGTCGAGATTCTGAGATGGAGCATTGCTCTGCAGCATTCTCTTTTAACTTGTATCGTTTGAATTTGATTTCTTGAAAGTGGATGGGTAAGGACATGATGATAGTTTTGTCGCCCCAGTCTTAATTTGCACCAATGGGTGTAAGATGGTGATTGACATTTTTTATCTGATCCTACCGTTTTGTCCCAACGTTTTTCTAGCCACCGTATTGCCTACGATGTTTCTAAGTTTGTTAGTATCATCCCACCATCCAAAGAAAAGAACCCAAAAAGACCCATCTTTTTGTCAATTTGACTTGAAAGTCCTTTTTTTTCATGCATTCTTTCCTTACCCACTCTCAAATGCTTCGTTAGGTTTTGGGATGGGATGTGAGGATAAGTTTTTGACACCCAGTCTTACCTGCTATTTTGATGCATGGTGAATGATCGACTATCTGATCCCATCAACCGACTATAAAGCACAATTTTTGCTTGTTTAAATGGAGTTACTAAGGTTTGGCTTTTATTAATTATTAATTAAAAATTGATTTATTGGCTGATAAATCATTCATTCATTGAGTCATTTTTTCCTTCATTCATTTTTTTAGTGTAGGGGATTTGATGATAATTTTTGACACCCAGTCTTACGTGCTCTTTTGGTGCACTCTGGTGATATTAATTGTCTGATCCCCGACCATTAGTAAAATGATGCTCTTAACATGTATTCATATGTATTATTGCGTTTTGTATCCTCTTTTTGTTTTTATTTTGCAATTTTTAAATTTGAAACCTCTTCATTGTAATAACGCGAAGAGACATGATGATGTATACCCATCAATTCTGTAGCAGAATGATGAATATCTTACATGCACTACCATCTGATCTCTTGCTAATTCTTTCGTAGTTAGAATATATCTAACAAATTTTCCTAAAATGTTATCCTTCAAGCTTTTCCTCTAAATTATTTGTTTTATATCATTGTCTCATGCAACTGATGATGCAAATTTTGTCCAAAATTATGACTGATTTGTGATTATTACACACAAAAATCACCATCTTTCGGCTGAAGTTGCACAACAATTGATTCTGGTTTTTTGTTTTGATTTCATGTTTCAATATCACTTGTGTTTGCCCATGGTATCTGATGTCCAGACTTTTGGATATCCCTGTATCTGGACATTTCGTTTAGAGGGCATATAGAGATTTTTTACAGGCCTTGCGACACAGTTTGCTTGCTTATAATCTCAGCTTACTGTTACTATATACCTGTGAACATATTTGTAAAAAGTAATGTGAAAAGTTAATCAATATGCCACCTTTGGTTAGCTTCAGTCATGATTGTGCGTTTTGGAGTCTGCCTCTTGAGCTGTTATCTAAACTCTCTTCTGTGAAATCCTTTTGCAACAGGAAAACTGGCGCAGGCCGAAGGGTATTGACTCACGTGTCAGGAGGAAGTTCAAAGGATGCACGTTGATGCCAAACATTGGTTATGGTTCAGACAAGAAGACTCGGCACTATCTCCCAAACGGTTTCAAGAAATTTGTTGTGAACAACATCAAAGAGTTGGAACTACTCATGATGCACAACAGGTGATGGCAGTTCATTGCACCGTTATTTTTGTAATGTTTGGCAATGCAGTAGATACTGATTCGATTCAATTTCTCTTATTCAGGACTTACTGTGCTGAGATTGCTCACAACGTGTCCACACGGAAGAGAAAGGAAATAGTTGAGAGAGCTGCCCAACTTGATGTTGTTGTGACCAACAGAACAGCCAGACTACGCAGCCAGGAGGATGAATAGACTATTTTGCATCTTGTATTGACGCTTTGAAACCTACCTGAATTGTGGATTTTCATCAATTTCGTTTCCGGCGATTGTAGCATGCAAAGTATACGTTATGATAATTATTTGAATTACTCTATGGTCGACTTGATGTCCAAATTTTCTCATGGAACACCGAATTATGTATAACCGCAAGATAGAACTCTGCAGAGAGTTGCCAATTAAGGCAGCCGTTGAAGAAGAGGCTGCGAACTAAATTTCTTTTAGTGCTGCGAAGATGGCCTGATTTGGCAACTGGTTGGCTTGACTTCCAATCCGCAGCACCCTGACGGCCTCACCTAAGTTGCTGGGGAAAGTATAAATATATGACAGCGAGTTTCAATACCCCGTGATAATATACTTTTTATGATTATGTTGTCTTTTTTGTAATTATATAGTCAATAATGATTAATCAACTGAAGTTTGTCGGTGACCAAAAGATGAGTTTGATTTTGATCCTTGTCATTTTTTCTTGACCCTCCTTGGTATTGCTTTTGATATAACAAAGCAAGGGCAAGGTGAATCTTGAGTCAAAACCAAACAAGGAAAATCCTAACTGATGCTGCGTAACTCTTTCAAAACAGACTCTAATGCATAGCGAACGAACATCAGGGCCGAAGACTGTCTTAAGTCATAACTAAGGAAATGTGAGTTGAGAAAACCCTTTTTCACATCTCTTTATGCAGAAACCTCCTACAGTAGGGAGTTAAAAAAACTGAAAAGGTGTTGTCCACGATATGATACAGAAGAAAAAGCGTCTCTTGCAATTCAGAAAATAAAACACACTCAGATTTGGTGATAAGATATTAAGATTATAATAAAGTGAGTAGATATTTAAAGTTGAAGTTTTCTCATGACCTTGTACATTCTTTTCTTTTCTTTTTTGGGGTTCAACCTTACATCAAAATTTAATGCTTCATCCGGGAAGATTTTTTCCCCCTTGCATTTGAGAAAAAGGCTGTAAAATGGCCCTTCCCTCTTTAGATGGTTGGACTGTTTGAACTTTGAACCAGGTGACGGTGGATAATTTTCTGATGCATATACATTTCAGTTATATAGCATGTCAATTTTTACTTTATAACTTTTTCATCCTAAAAAGCGAAATGGATGTACGTGAAAAATTGTTTTAATTATGTAAGTATATGTTTTTACTTTTATTTTATAAATGATTTTATGCTTAACAATACGATAAAATACACTATAGTAAAATTTGTTTAATAAATTGGCCTATTAGCTCAGCTGGCTAGAGCATCCTGCTAATAACGAGAAGGTCGCACCTGCATGGGCCATCATGTAATCTTATAATTCGTAAGATTTTAATCATTATAAAAATGAATTGATAATCTCCTTGCCTACTATAGACAAAACTAATATTTCTCCTAAATTAAAAAAGCAACCTAAAGAACGAGGTCCAATCTAGAAATAAAGCATTGGGATGCCTAAAAAACGAAACAAACGACCTTAAAATGCTAAGAATAAGAGTACAAGACAGAGATGATCCTTCCTCCTGCCTTGAATGTGAAGAATGAATCATCCTTCATTCTTTTTCCCGTCCTTCGTCCATGTTCTGATTGTTCTCGTATACAAGAAGCCGTTATAGAGTACAGAAATTCATGCATCCCGACACCGACATTTCCTTCACTATATTCAAGGCTTCTTAAACATATCCGGAGTAATTCACAAGACTAAGCATGTTTGCAGAACTAAAATCTTTTGAAACAAGTGCTTTTTAGAGTTGGTGCAGATTTAGAATTATTAGCCCTTTAAGCCTTGTTTATATGATATGAGCCAAATTTATGAAAAATCCATATGATTTAGAGTTCATACAATTTTGTTAGAACTAAATTCTAGTAACAGCCTAGGGCAAAATCAGATTATTGGACTAATAAAAATATATCAAATCAAATCACAGCATCCATAATTATTGTCAACTGTGGATCTCTGGGACAAAGTAACTAGTTATGCATGAGACTGCACGTAACACAATAATCAATCAATAAATATCAAAATATCCATATGTAAGCGTCTAGGTCGCTGTTGGCCTATTGCTCAACATTATTCAAAAGAGGAACCCAGAAATACAGCCAAAAACCAGGAAATAACGCTACATGCACAAACAAACGCACATGTGGTCCCAAAGACTCGACTTTATTATCACTTACTACAGACTTCACCGTATATAAAAATAAACCTCGTATAGATCTATCTAGGCAGGCCTCTTGCCCTTTACATGTAGATCAAAATATCACAAAATTCTTTGAACACGATCCTCCCAAGTCTGCCCGAGCATTACTCTTGAGATCAGATTCCCTTCTCTAGTCACTGTTTCTGCACAAGAAACCAGACAGAAATCGTCAACTAAAACTAAATTTATCAGGACAAAATGTATATGACATTATTTGAACAGTATCCAATATCAGCATCCACAGAAGGACTCAGAAAATTTATGAATTGATTTATAGACCTCCAGATAATTAGTTTTAAATATCCTATACACAAAACTTCAATGCAGACCACTGTTCCGTCAATCCAGGGCACTCTTGCCTGCAATATAGAATCTAGCTGACAACATCCAACATGACATGCAGGAAAAACATACCGATTATCCACGAGGAAAACCCCAACCGGAAGGGGGGTGAGAACAGGGTGAATTGGTACATTGAACTGTTGTAGGAATTTGAATGACATGAGGATGGGAATATTCGCTCTCCCACAGATGCATTTCCTTCTGTCATTATTTGGTAAATTGTATGCTAAACTATATATTCCTGGGCCTCACATTGCTAGTTTCATCTATTGGATGGCATTTTGTTCATTATAGATATAATCCAGCGTGAGCTATCTCTTCACACTTTCCAAAGTACTGTATATATATGAGAAATAAGGACGCAACACTTAAAGGCCTCACTTGAAAACAACCATCACGAACGATCAAATCATATTTAACCTTCCAAACGCCTAAGCTTCAAATCTCAAATTTACTAAAAGGAATAAAAATGCAAATTCCATTTTTCTACTTATAGAGTACATCTAGTTCTTGTTTCTTCTCTAAAGTCGTATGTCTTGCTGTCACTATTGATTACACTACAAATCTAAACAAAACTAAAGCCAAGCTTGAAGTCAAAAAGCATGAAACAGACAAACAAGGCACGTTGGGCCTTAATCTTTCAGAAATAAAATACATGGTTCCAAGACAAATGAAAAAGAGAAGCTCCACAGAAAACTGATCGTGGTTGGTCTCAGAAACAATATTACAAGTGTACTAAGAAAAATCAATGTACATTTACCAACAACCGTAGACAACATGTACAAAACTAAACAACATTCTGGGTCACTAATCTAAATCAAAAGACAGTGGGTTTTCTGCCTTGTTATTTTGTCAGCCCTTTTAGTGTGAGTGCATTTAGAAACTCACCAAACCAACATTTACTACTTATTACTAGACTAACTAAACATTTAAACAGAACAGGTGAAAAGACAATGTTAATTCCTAATTAATAATACCCATCCAGAATGATTGCACATTCGCTTAGCAGCCATAAAAGAAAACGTTCCTGCATAGCACACTGATGTGAAGTTCAGAGAAAAGTTCTATTAACCTTCCTCTATTGTCACTTTCCTCCAATAAAACAGGATGGTTAAGTTAAAAATAAAAAGGTAACACCCAGTGAAAGCCAGTGAGAGAGCCCGAGTGATGAATGCATATACAACATTGCTCTTTCCCAGAAATTTGAAAAAGAAAAGGACATAAATTCCCCATACGAAACTAAAAATTAACTAAGAATAAAAAATAGCCTTTCGACATATTTAACTTAAAATCATGCCTTCCCAGTGCTACATGCTATTTCTTTATGCGCTTGATCATAATAAGGCATTCAAGAGAATGCCTAATAGGGATTTTCATCTAGAGCTATATCTATTCTTAACATTCAAGAACAATCACAATAGATTAGGTGATGCCAAGATAGATTTCATATCATTAAACACTTCAACAAATGGCAGATAAGAACTTTAAGGTGACATGGCCTAAACTGAAAAAGTTTTAGCCATAGTAGAGTCAGTTCCACCACCATAAGATTCATTAATCCTGCCTAACAGTAACAAGCTACATGAAGAACATAGATGAAAATTAAAACAAAAGATGCCACCTCATAGGAGCATAAAATTCAGATAAGCAATAAATAATGAATTAAAAAACAGTCAAACCTCTGTTTTATAACCTTGATCCATTATACAAAACAAAGACCCCAACCAAACCAATTGAAAACAGTGCAACAAAAGAAGCTAATAAAAAACAAATAAACTGGCAGGAAACATTGATTATTGTGATATCTTTGCAAGTAAAACTTTTGAAGACAGGTAGTTCGAAAAAAATTGAATTTCAGTAGCAAAATAACTCCCAACCTGGACTTATCTGTTGGAGCCTGACAGTATTTCAAACAATCCACAACAATTCAACCAAGAGGTCTTTTGCGCCACACGTGGAGCTGATACCAGTTGAGGCTGCATACCAGTACAGAAAATTTAAAAAAAAAAAAAAAGTTCAGCTTAACTCCAATAATTTTTTTAAATATATAAATTATAAAGCGCCTGATAAAACTTACAACCATATTGATACCTGATTTCCAGAGCATCGTAGAGTCTCAGAACCTTTAGTATGGTCAGAATCTTTAGTAGATTCAGTGACAGGAGTAGGATTTTCAGATACTGAAGCTGATACTTTACTACTGTGTTCTGTTGGCGGAGATTCCACCAAATCTGGCGTTGCAACATGCTGATCAGGCATAGGAAAAACTTTATCCTCATGTTTCTTCATGGCAAGATCCACTGCTGCCACTTGAGAGACTGTTGACTCCTCCAGTGAAGCAGTTACATTATCACTGCTTTTCACCTCACTCGGAGGGGGCACTTCCTTTACTGAATTAACACAAGGTTCCAGAACCAAATTACTAGTCTCCTTGACTGCAGTATTTTTAGAAATTGCGGGAATTTTGGTGGGTAGAGAATCAACAGGAAATGCTAAATCTTCAGATGTGATTGCCATTTGTTTTGAATTATGGGGCTCACCCTTTGAGTTGTTCCCATCGAGGGACTCAACATTTGAAGTACCACTAGGATTTCCACTCCCATAACGTGATTCCTTGGCAGATTCAACATGATCAACCCTTTCATTTATTTTATCAGAACTCTCCTCATATTCTAAATCACTCACCATCTTAACAGCACTAACTTCCTGCTCTCCTACTAATTCTGAAGTATAATTGACATGTGCAACACTATCATTTATTCTATCAGAACTCTTCTCAGGTTCCAAAGCACTGTCAATCTTAACTATAGCTTCATGGCCTCCAGCTGCTTCTGCGCTAGAATCAACAGGATAAGTTAAATCTTCAGATGTAACTGCCTTTTGTTTTGAATTGTAGAGCTCATCCTTTGAGTTTGTTTCATTGAGGAATTCATCACTCACAGTACCATAAGAGTTTCCATGCCCATCAAGTGATTCCTTAAGAGACTTGTCATTCTTAGCCCTGTCATCTACTCGATCAGAGCTCTTCTCAAATTTCAAATCATTTTCTATCTTAACAATACCAACCTCCTGTCCTCCAACTACTTCTGCATTAGTAATATCACCAGGGACTTCTTCCATGGGCTTAATGTCACAAGCAGATGGATGAGGAACTGGTCGATCTCCTTCCTCCACTTCTTCACTCCCTTCATTAAATGGGTGATGATGATGATCGCCGTGATGATGATGGTCCCCATGATGATGATGGTCCCTGTGATGATGATGGCCGTCATGATGATGATGGTCGCTGTGATGATGATATGCAGGAGAACTACCCTCCCCACCATCACTTCCTTTCTCATCTTGTGACTTCAAGTCATCACTTCCTGATATTTGTTATTAGATCAATCAGACCAATATCAAGCAAAAACAACTGAATTAACTAATAACCAGTAAATCAACTAGCCCAAACACAATAATCAATCGTTAAATTCGATGATACATATAGCCCACCTAGTGCAAGGGAAAAGACAGGCAAGATGCATATTCTGAGGAATCCCAAACAAGTTGATACAAAACAAGAAGAACAACTACCCGTCTATGATCCATCCCATTCACTAAAAGATCAAGAAGTATTAAAAAATAGATATAATCAATAGTTGAAAACGCACATACAGCATAATCGAATTTGAGTGAAAAGACAGTAAAGCCGCATATTCCAGGGAATCCCAATTAAGCATATATAAAAGCAAGAAGAATCAAAAGATACCCATCTAAAAGCAAGAAGAATCAAAAGATACCCATCTATCCAAATTGACCCAAAACGACTTGAGCCCCCCAAAAAAAAAAAAAACAATAACAGATATAATCAGCAATTGAAAAGGATGCTTGGCTGACTAATTGCTAGTAGTTTATGCATTAATAATGTTTGGTACCGGACTCCATCAAGCAAAATTACCTTGGGGATTATTAGACGATGGGTTTATGTCGGCCTCCTTTTCCTTCTTTTTCTTGGCAGCTTTTCTCTTCTTAGAACCTGAAGGCATGATTGGCCCCCTCTGTCCCGGCACACACAACGAATCTAAACCCCTATCTCTCTCTTACTTTCCGCGTGGAAAGGATTAAGATAGATTCGTACGGCTAAAAACACAAGAGAAATTTCCACCCAAAAGAAAACACGAGAGAAATAGAATCTACAGCGATCTTCCCTACGAATCGTCGGAACCCCAGATGAAGTAGTAACAGGATGAGAAGGAGAGTGAAGTCGTCCTCTTCTCCTTCCCTAGCGACGCTTCGCCTCTGCTAACTACGCTATCAAGTACCCATCAAATACAGAAATGCAGTGGGACTCCGTGAGGGCTTTTTTATTTTTTCGTTTTTTTTTTTTCCTTTTTGGGTTTTTATCACCCAGACAGCTAACTATATACTCCTCCGTTCCTTATTATAAGAGACATTTGATGCTTATGTCATGTTTCTATATATAAGAGACACTTAAAAGTTGTCTCTACTTTTTTGTGTTGATTTCCTATTTTACCCATATTTATTATCTCTAACTCACACTCTCTCTCTCCTTCCTACTTCTCTTTCTTTTAATAATTTACCATTGTTCTCTCTCCTTATTAATGAGGGTATTTTTGGAAAAAAAATTATGCTTTTTACACATTGATTGTTCTTAACTAATTTTAACTATTTTTTTTATCAACGTAATTCGGTTATTCGTCTCTTATAATAAGGAACGGAGGGAGTATTAGATAATGATTATTACCCGGAAGCAGCGTCTGAAGGCAGGTGTCATGAGTCTAGGATCGTGTCTAAAAATTTCAATCTTGGATTCCATGGGTAGGCCAGGCAATGACTTTTAACAATTTTTTTCTTACAACTACCCTATAGTAGTTCTCAACTTTGTCCTCCATTACATGTTTTTTAAATAGTTTTAATATTGTCAGTTGAAAAAACACAGTTCTAATTTAAATTTAGAAAAATTACTCACAGATCTTAAGCAAAAGGAAAAAAAAAAAAAAAAGTAAGTCCCTCAATTCTGATTTAATATTTAGAAGTCAAAATTTTTTATTTACAAATCGAAAAATTAATATAAAATAAAATTAGGGAAACTTAAATATATATATATATCTAATTTTCTCTCCAGGACCTATGAGTAATTTTCCATTATTTTTTATTATGAAATCACTATTTGTTAAAATTAATCAGAAAAACAATTTATATTTTTATACATGATTTGATATTTAGTATTTGGTAGTTAGTATTATTGCATCAAACTCAGGTATTGTTAGTCTAAATAAGAGCAGCTCTCTCATCAACATCTTTTGAGTTTTACGTAAATACAAATTCTAGATCTTATATTTAAGTTATTATAATTCCTTCCATATATACTTGTTGGTTATTTATAATTTTCAATCTTAAAAAAATATGATCTGTTGATTTCGTTTCTTGTAATGTGTAATTTATTATTCTAATATGGGATTTAAGTATATTATGAAGCTTGAGATCTATATTGTGAATAATACAATTTTATATGTTAATTTATTAATATTAATATTATTTCACCATCTCCTATTTATTATTAATTTACACTTATCATCAGAATAATTTAGAACATCTAAATGTATTCAATATAAATTTTAATTTTTCAATAAAAATATAAATTTAATTTTTAATAAAAAATTAATCACTTAAATTGATTAAATATTTTTATCTCAAGGGGAGATAACATATGTTATTTTTTAAAAATTAGTTGTTTGCATCCAAATTTTTTTGTAAATATAAATAATTAAATCAATAAAAATATCAATTCTAGATTACTATATTATTGAGTGGAGCAGGATAGGAAATGGCTTATTTTCAATTTTTTTAAATAATCATAATAATAATTATTCTGTTGAATCCTTTTGGGTTTGGAAATTATTGGGGAAATTAATAAGTGGCTATAACGGTAGATTCTGGTGGCAGGAAGGAGAGAGGTCAGGAATCTGCCAACTCAGCCTGTCTCCGTGGAGGTGCATTCATGTGATGTTATTGATTCCTTGTTGTGATGTCTCAAAGCCGCAAAGGAACTTGCCGACAAGCAAAATTTATAAAATATGCAGGAAAAAAAATCATTTTGTGGTTGTTTACATTTTTTCTCAACTTTTAATTTAGTACTTATATTTTTCTCTTTATTTCTTAAATTATTTTATTTAATTTTATTAGCGTCGTTAGACTTGCAACTTCACATTAAAAAGTGCCACAAAGGATTTAACAAAAAAGAAATATATAAATACCAAGTTATAATAAAAATATATAAATTCGTACAAAATGGTTTTTTCCTTTCCTGATTAACAAGCGAGTGTGAATTCTATATATTTTTAGTAGTTTGTTATTATTTCTCTATGCGTATGTGTATAGACAGTGATTGACAATTGCACAGTTTTCAAATTAAATTAATTCTTTTGATATAACTTGTTTCACAATTAAAGATTGATTCTTGTAAATTAATTTTTAAGTAATTTACCTGTTAATAGTTGTATTTTTTTGGCAAAAATTATGCAAATTCATTATAATAATGTGGGACCACATTATTCTTTTATTTTTTTTGGAAAAAAACAAGGCCACACCCAAGGTTGTTAAAGAACCATGCATGAAGAAATTAAACTAGTAAAGATCAGACAGTGAAATGTATTTACAAGGTTGTTAAAGAATTAGAATCTAGCATCAAAACTACGTTGAAAACGATTGAATCTCTTTTGGTGAAGTTTCCTTGATGTTGTTGAGGGAGTGAATCAAGGAGTATTCAATTTGAATCATATGCGTTGCATCAATTGAATCATACTAGGTGTCAATTTGATTGTACTGTTTCGATACTTAATATAAAACTTATTTAACTAATTTGATTTATTAAAAAAATTAGGTAAGTTACTTAATCATGAGAAATATGATATAGTTTTCCTGAAAATATTATAATAATCTTTGTCAATACTTACCTCTCTTTTCTACTTGATTATGGTTGAGAAAGTATCAACAAGGATAACTGAGAAAAAATTGATAAATATGGTAACTAAGTTTTATATCTAAGATCAAAATCAACTGAATAATTAAGTCTTGTATTAATGATTGGATGAGTATCTTTCTTCCTAGCAAAAATTTAAGCTAAGATCTTTATGTGACTATACATCCATCTTATCCATGTTTGAAGGGGATTTGACAATTTACTTATTTTTAAGTAATTTTACGATTTACGAGATAAATATATGAGAGAAATTTTATCTCATGAAATGCAAAAAAAAAAAAAAAGAAGCCTTTTTTAAATGATTATAAGCATTTGTCAGCCACGCAAATAGGCAGTGATCAAGAATCACTTTTTTTTTTTTTTAATGTTAGGCACATGTATTTTTTTTTATTGGAGTTAATCCTTATAACATCCCAACTTAACAACATACAGACTTAGTATTCCAAAGAAAAAAAAAATCTAAGCTTCATTAAGGCTTAGGGCTAAGTACTAGGGCTTGGCGATCAAGAATTTGACCTTTTTTCTCGTTATGTTTAGATTTTTTTTTTAATACTAAGCCTACACGTTGTCAAATTGAGGTGTTATGACCTTATTTAAGGCATTATTAGATATTAAATGTAAATATTTTTTAATAAGAATTCAAAGTGTAATTTATTATATTTTTTTCTCAAGAAATCGGCCTCTTCTATCATAGAATTTGGCTTATTAACGCCATTACTATTAGAGTTGGTAATATAGGTTGAACTCACGGGTTCAACTAGCCAAAAATAGCCGGTTGGGGTCGGCCAAAAGCCAACCTGCTTGTAAACAAGTCTTTTGAATCCGTATCGCCAATAGAGCCGGGAATCAGGGCCGGCCCTTCAGGACTTAAATTTTAAAAATATCCCAATTTGCTAGGCCCGGCCCTTAAGCTACAGGGCCAGGGCCGGCCCGCGGGCTTTTGGCCCGTTTAAGAAAAAATACTATTTTTTATATTTATCATATTTTTTTTATAAAAATATAAAAATAAACCAATGAAATTATTAATAAAAGACATAAATATGAATAAAATTAAGTCACAAATATAAAATATTATCATATATAAATATTCATCAACATCTAAGAACATCTAAAACATTCATTAACAATATAACAATATCTAAAAGTTTTATCTATAATGCAATTGTGCAATAAATAAACACTATCATTAATCTTTTGAAACTTCATCATCACTATAATTAATTATATTTCTTCATAAGTATGCTTTTCTTTCATAACAAAAATATCAAGTTTTTCTTCTTTATAATAATTTTATTTTTAAATTTTGCAATCTAACTATTATTTTACTTTAATGTGAGAAATATTGTTGTTGAAACTCATGAATTTCTAATTCAAATTATAGAATCACAAGTTATATAAGTATAAAAATATTCTATTATCAAATATATATATAGTTTAAAAATATCAACGCATATAATATAAATCAAATCATTATTAAAGTCCAAATTAACCCATTTTTTAAAAATTTAATTGGATAAATTATTGTCTAAAACTAAATTTAATTTTAAAATGATAATAATAACTAAATATTTGAAATATTATTAACAATGTAAAAAATTAGTAACATTAATATTATATAAAAAAATTTAAAAAATAAAAAAATTATAAAAGGGCTTAAAAGGGCCGGCCCTTTTAAGCCCTCGGCCCTCCAGGGCTTATTTCTCATTTTAAGAGAAAAATATCAAGCTTGGCCCGTTTTCCCAGCTCTAATCGCCAAGCCCGCAACTTACTGCGGGTTAGCCCGCCAACCTATTGGCTAACCTGCATATATTTTTTTTAATTTTTTAATTGTTATAGTTATATTACTATATATTATATCCTATCTAAACAATTAAGAAAATACCTATATAATTTATTTGGTATTTTCAATTAAATATTTTAAAGAAAAACCAAAAACTTATTATTATTTTTGGATATGGTATAAGAAAAAAAAATTAAAAAGTAAGAAAAATTTCAAAAATAAATAAATAAATAAATAAGCGTTGGCAGGCTAACCTATCAACTCACATTAGTGGCTATTTTCAAACAAACCTTTTCAACCTGACTCATATAGGTTCAACCTATCACAGGCCAACCCGTAACCCGCATTTGTCTGAATAAGACCACATCTACCCAATAAAAAAGGTGCGAAATCTAATAATAGGTGTTGGGCTGGGCAAGATGAATCTTACCATGCTGAGGTTTCGTATGGGTCGAAGTCAGACAAATCATGATCATGGGCTCGATCCTTGCGAGATCACACGTTGCAATAAAGCATGTGTTGGGACAATTGGTGAGTGGGCTTGCACCAAGGCCTAACAGGATCCTAAGTGAGGTTGCAAAAGACTGGTTTTTTTATAACATAACGAATCAATAATCAAATTTTTAATAACAGAGGTGTTTGCATATAAAACAATACCCTAAACAGAATTGATCTCCTTACCATCAATATAAATATTTTGAAGGAAATTTGGAGCTAGTATATACTCTGAATATTTGTGAGCTCATTGGTGTTCAAATGCAAGTGTTAGGAGTGACTGATGGGAAGGCCAACATCTTATCTTGAGGGTTGTTTGGATAGAATCAAAATCATAATTTTAAAAGTAATTTTATGATATACGAAATAAATAAATATGTGAAAGAGTTCATTTTAATTTGCGAAAAAGTATTTTTAAAAAGTAATTTTCTTATCTCCAAATACCCTTTTAATAAAGCCGTTCATACTTGAATGTTTTAGAGTAAGCATGATTCGAGCAAAGGTACTTCACAATCAGATCATTTCAAAACAAAAGCATTTTCACTCGCTTGTGTTGAGGGGATTAATCATTTAGACGGTTTTCCATTGTAAAGAAAAATTTCATAAATTCAATATTTTTCAGAAAATTTTTACTCATCAACCTTCTTATAATAGTAACTGGCAAAAAAAAAAAAAGCTTCTTATAATAATATTGTATTACTCCTCCAATCCTAATATAAGACCCATTTAACTAATTTGATTATATTAGGAAAGTTAGGTAAGTTAGTTAATTATAAAAATATAACATATTTTTCCTAAAACACCATAATAATCTTTCTTAATACTCCTCTTTCTTCTACTTGATTATGATTGAGGGAGTATCCATAGAAGTAATTTAGAAAAAATTGATAAATATGATAAATAGATCTTATATTTAAGACTAAAACGCTCGACAATTGGGTCTTATATTAAGGACCATAAGAGTATAAATTAATCTTTATTAAGATATTGATATTTTTTATTACCGTCTTTTTTTTCCCACATCAATTATTTTTTACACAACAATATTTCAATAATTTTTTAGAAATTAAAATTTAGCTGAAAAAACATAAATTATATTATGGCTTCTTACATTAAAATTCAGATAAAATAAATAAATTGGAATTCAAAATTTTTTCTTTTATTTTAAATTTAATAACTATTTCATTATATATGGCAACTTGATGAAAATGTAGAATAACATTTTTTTAAAATTGCGTAAAATAACATTTCACCTTCCTGAGAATTTAATTTTCAAATTGATATTCATTTTTGGCGATATGAAATTAATTTTAATAATTTATTATTCATATGTGAAGGAGAGCTGGAAAAAGGGAGAAGAAGAGATACTATGCGCTAGGCATGTAAGTGTATGTATACATGGAAAAGTTTGACATTTCTGTCGCAGTGGATCTGAGATAGCTCCACTTTCTAATCTAAATCCAAGTTCATATTGCCGTAGTTTGACCTGCCAAAATCTGTAACTCGCTTCCTTTTCTCTGTAATTGCCGTGGGAAGAGAGCATAGGCGGTAGCCATGGACGCTTTGAGGAGACAAGCCAGCAAGTTCAAAGAGCAAGTAGCCAAACAACAGCAGGTAGTATTTAGTGCCCTGATTCCTTTATGCTCCGTCTTGCTAGCATTCTGATGATGAAGCATATATTATGCATTTTGAGAAGGAGAGAAAAAATTGATTTTTTCAACTTTTTGGCGTTCTGCCATATGTTTCTTCCGAATCTTGGGTTCAGATTTTTTACTCTGACAAGCCTGAATTTGCATCGAGCTGTGTAATGGTTTGATAAAATTTGATGAATTTGAGCATTTAAATTCTTTACTTATTTTAAATGTTTTGGAAAAGCATTTGAAGATGGGTTACAGATATTCTATGGAAGGAAAGAAATTGGGAGTTTGAATTGGGTGTGTTCTTGCCATCTTTTTCTTCCCACCTAGTGGTTCCGGAACAATAAGGGACGCAAGATTTGCCTTTATCTTGCAATTTATGAGAAGTTGACGAGTTTCAGCATTTAAATTCCTGTTTTTTATTCTAAAGATCTTCAAGAATGCAATGAAGATGGGTTTGTTTGATGCTACTTTAGCGAATTCAACTATAGTTAAGATGCTAAAATTCTGTTTGATCTAAAATTGACTAAGAATGTTTGAAAGAAAGATTTGTTTGATGCTGCCATGGTCAAATAAACTTCAGTGAATGTGCAGAAATTTTTTTGCACATTCTGACCATTATTAAATCACGTTATTGGCAGTGTTTATTAATAGTCCTTTGTGTGGTTATATATCATCTGGTGTGGCCCAATGTTTTTCCCCCTCCTGAAATACTCTGTCATCATGTAAGTTTCTGCTCTCAACACATAATTAAATATTACCTCCAATCCTTAATATTAGAGCTAGATATCTAATTTGGGGATATTAAGGAGATTAGTTAAGTTGGTTATTTGTCACAAATATGTGTTGATCTCCCTAAACTATTCTCTTCAATCATGTGCATTGGATGATAAGAATTATGCCTTGGTGGGAACCCATTGCAATCAATAGGGATATTTTGGGGCAAGAGAAGAAATAAAGTAGATTGAGGTCTAATATTTAGGACCAAAACCAATCCTTAGCTAGCTCTTATATTAAGGACCCAAAGTAGTACTTTTTGGCATGGCCATCTGTACCTTATTTGCTGTGGGATTTAATTTAATTTGTTTCTCTCTCAGGCTGTGATAAAGCAGTTCAGCACCAGCGGTTATGAGAGTTCAGATGTCATGGTCATTGATGAGGTCGAAATGCAGAGACATCAACAACTAGAGAAATTGTACAGGTCCACCCGTGCAGGAAAGGTATAGTGTTTTCTGTTTGCTGTTTTCCATGGTTAGATTGATCATCAACTAGATTTACTTTGGTTCCTGAAGTAAGAAAATAGTTTATTACTTTAGGAATTAAAATAGCATGTAATGTTCATGTTAAGAACTTCTATCCATGGTGTTTTATGAGTTGAGGGTCACATGAGTGAGCAACAAATGGCCAGCTTAATTAATCCATGTTAGTATGTCTAGCTTGGCTCTGGTGCGCTATTGAGGAATTTCAAAGAATGCCTTTCAATAATCATTTTTGAAATTTAAACAGAAATGCTTTTCCCTGTTCATTCAACGAAAAGCATGTTACAGGGATAAAAAGAGAGAATTGGTGACTTCAAGATCAGCCACTTTACCTCGATGATAAAGGAGAATACAGAAAATAATTAACCAAAATCAGAAAAATAATATCTGAAACATATTTCCTACAATAAGGGTTAAGGTAGAGAAGTCAAAGCTGTAGAAGAGACAATGAGATGGACCTGATATTGGGGGCGTGTGTATATTTGTTGGTATTCTATGATGCTATTTTCTGATCCAGGATTTTCTTGATTTGTTTGATGCTATTTTCTGATCCAGGATTTTCAAAGGGAAATTGTCAAAGCAGCAGAGACATTTACGGCAATGGGTTATAAGTATATTGAAGCAGGTGATTTGTTTTTCTCATGTGAATGCAGTTCACACTTAACACTGATGATAATACATACATATATACATATATATTGTGTGTGTGTGTGCGTGCGCGTGCACTTGTGTGTGTTGCAATAAGAAGCCTCTTGCAAATTTGTATAAAGACTAGTGATCTTTCAGCAATTATTATAAACAATCTCCATGGTAGACAGGAACAAAGCTTTCTGAGGATTGCTGTAGATATGGAGCAGAAAACAACAGCGACAACATATTGGCTAAGGCTGCATCAGTATATGGCGATGCTCGCAAACATGTTGAAAAGGAGCAAGAAGAATATAATCGGCTTTTGTCTTCACAGGTTGACGTTTCTCATGTTTTCCATTTGTGCAGTTATTAATCATTAATGAAATTTAAACATGAGTAATTATCAGTTTTTTGTGCGGCTGCATTTAAATATTAAATATTCTTAGCTGTTGATTAGAATCAAATTTTGATTTCTATACTCCCTCTCCCTTTAATTTATGTTGTTTTGTACTAGTGCTCAACTAAGAGATATCACACTTTCAGAATTGTTATATGGTATATTAATTGTCCAGGACTTCAATTCTACAGCACTATCATCTTGACCATGCTGGATTATAGACTAATATATTAATTTGAAGTTTTTACTGGAAAGCAAAGCAAGTTGGGGTTACCAAATTTTGTGTTTCCAGCGCCAAGTGTTGAGCTTGAGCAATTGACTTAGTGTTAGTGATTGGTCCACAGAGTGATAAGGCATTGATACTTGATTTGGATACTATGAAAGGTAGATCTTCAATATGGTAGTGGGGAACATTAAAATTTCCATGTTGCTACTTTAGCTACCTGGCATAGTTTGTTGGATATTGCTGTTGCTCTCTAGTCTTTGCATATGTGAAATCTTCCCCATTCCATCATCACTATGCTTCTGCTTTACCATATTATTTTTAAATTTAGTTCATTTGAGTTGAATCAGACAATGTTTCACATTATTCTGTTGTTAGACAGATCAGGATATATACTAACTAGTTTTGAAGACTAAATTGCCAATTGGCTTCTATAACAATATTAATAGACCTCCTCTCTACTTCCAAAACTGGCATATGCCCTCTCCACTTACCACTTCCCCAGAACTTTTGCAAATTTTCATCACACTCATTCCCACTCATGCCCTCCAACAAGGGTGGAAATCAAAATGGAAAATGATTAAGGCATTTGTAGGCCTTGAAACTAGAGGGAATTTCTGTTTAATTTCTCATATAGGTCCCGTTTGGTAAGGATTGGGATTGGAATTGAAAAAAATATGTCAAGAGAGTGATTAATATGAATGATTACTTGTTACATAGGATTAGACAATCCTATGTAGGTTGGATTGAGGAATACCACCTCTCTCCATAATATTCCCCAATCCCACATATATGGATTTGCCCAATCCCAAATAACAAGTAATTACTCATACTAAACACTCCTTTAACATATTTTTTTAATCTCAATCCCAATCTTTACCCCTCATTTTCAATGCTTTATACCAAACAGGACCATAGATTTTGACTAGAAAACCCCTTATTTTGGTGCTCGAGAGACAGCTTCTTAGCAATTTGATTCTTCAGAATGTTTGTATCACTTTGGTTCAAGAAACTAGGAGAAGTCCTTTGGTAGAAGAAAAATAGAGTATGAATTTCTTCTGGTTCCACCCTTTGGGGTTACTAAAATGATAATGACACAATCTTTAAAGGATAAAAAATTATGTGCAGTCGGAGCGAAATTATGCTCAGGAGCTAAAGCAAGTAGAAAACAACTAGGTTAATGACATTGATAATGACTTCATTTTTTGGACCAATGACTGAAAGAGGATTTCTGCCTCATATCTTTTTCAAATCTATCAGGACAACAGGATGAATCCTATGTTTTTTACTTTCCAGGTCTTGGACCCCTTAAGATCAATGATCCATGGTGCACCTTTGGAGGATGCTCGCCATCTTGGTCAGCGATATAGTCGCATGAGACAAGAAGCAGAGGCACAGGTAAGTCCAAATTTGGAATGATTCCTAGATCTCTACGCTTAATTAGTAGCTTATCTGTGGCATGGGGTGTGCAGTAATTCTTTTTTCTTTTTGGGGCATTCTAGTAACCAGAGATAAAATTTTTATCCCAGAATCTGTTTTTTTTTTTTTTTCTTTGGCCAATACATCAGGCTATGTCAGGCCATCATTTAGACATTGATATTCTTACTTTAAGTTGAGCATTATAACTTGATTTGGTTTTAAAAATTTAATCAGAGGGAGGAGACATCAAGAAGACAGGCACGAGTAAGAGAGGCTCCAACTGCTGAAAATGTTGCAAAACTGCATGCTTCAGAAGCAAAGATGCAGGAGCTAAAAGCAAACATGGCTGTTCTGGGTAAAGAAGCTACTGCTGCCTTAGCTGCTGTGGAGGCACAACAGCAAAGACTGACGTTCCAGAGGCTTGTTGCTATGGTATGCTTACACATGCAACATGATTGATAATATAAATTTGGGCAAATCACCCTCCCCTTCAGTGTTCCTCGGCTTTTTGATGATTACTATCCCCTTCCTCAAACTGAAAAAAGCAAGCTACAAAAAATGCAATTTGGCCACGTACCCTCAGCAAAAGAATTGATGTATTATAACTGAAAATGTAACTTATGAAACACGTATTTCTTAATAATTTTTATGCCAATAGTTATTTTTATTAATTACAATGAACTAAATATATCTATTTTTCGTTACTATATTTATAATAGTGCTCATCTTGATTGACTATTTGTACAGTAAACAAGTTATTAATATGAATTAAATGTTATCTTTTATGAAATAATTCTACCCTTTCTAGATCTAAAGAAGTGGTTAGGCTATGTTTAGAGAAGAACTTGTATAGTTATGTTGAGTTTTGATCATCTAAGTGTCTTTTGGCCAAAATGGGTAAAAATTGTAGCTTATCTTCCGCTTTTTTGGGCTCTCAATCCAACTATCTGCTATATGGTATTATTGGATCAAATTTGAATATTATTAGGTCGAATTGAAAGTAGCTCTTCTAACGTAATTTTTTCTATCCACAAGCTTGCACTCTCAACCTTGTTTTAGGAGAATTGAATCTTTTCCACTTAACGTGAGCACTGTTAGTGTAACTTCTGGTCTTAACAACACCCTCGCCCCCCAAAAGGGGGGTGGTAAAATAGAGTCTAGGGCTGTGTGATTAAGCTGATTGTCATGGAAGGAAGAATAATTTACCCTTACGCTATTATTTTGGATTTTGATTATGTACATTATGTTTATGTATTTGTAGGTTGAAGGGGAAAAAACTTATCATGCAAGAGTTGCAGCCATACTTGGTGAAATTGAAGCCGAGGTGTGAACCGGATTAATCAATCATTTTTTTCTGGGAATATTTATATGATTGTATTACGTCCTTCTTTCTTTTCCTGTTCTTTGAACTGTGTTCATGATCATAATAGCAATAAAATTTCTTCTTGCTGGAACCTTTTTCCAGATGGTTTCAGAGAGACAGAGGAAAGAATCTGCCCCTCCAGTTGTTTCTGAGAATGGCTCCACAAAAACTATGTATTTCTTGGCCGAAGTATGCTGCGTATACCAAATCTTTTCTTTCTCTCTTTGTTTCATCGTTTTGGAAGACGGGGTTGGGGGTACAATACATCCCACATGAGCTTCTTTTAGAGATGGAAGATTGTTCAATTCTAACTCTAGAACAATTATGGGAGAGGAAAAGATAATATGAACCATGCATCATTTGGTTGCAGGTAATGCATCCCTTTAATGCTTCAGCGGAGAAGGAGCTGAGCTTGGCAAAGGGTGACTTTGTTGTTGTGCGAAAGGTAGGTTTTCTTGTCAATGCATATTTAAATGGCCTTGAGGACAAATATTTACTATGATGAGTGATCTCATGGAAAGTTCTCAAGTTGCGCTGGCTTTTCAAAAATGACCAAAAGCAGAGAAAGGAAGTATCAGTATTCTTTCAGGAACCTTATAAATTCATCTAAAAACATTTGCGTTGCCAAGCCTTGTAGTTGAACCACTGAGATACTAACGTGCGTATATCCTGAAAGCGCATTAATAATTCCAAAAATTTAACAGGTGACGGCAACAGGGTGGTCAGAAGGAGAATGCAATGGCAGGGCAGGGTGGTTCCCTTCAGCATATGTTGAGAAACGGCAGAGAATTCCCTCCAACAACTTGCCTGGTGAAGTTTATTAGGTCCTCTGTTGTGTCCTCATGTCTTCTATTACTCATCCCTTTGAGACTTGTATTATTGATTAAAGACGAACAAATAGGGTGGGGATCGTAGAGGAAACTGGAGCTTAGATTCAAGTGTTATTCTTTCTTTCAGTGTCAGTAGTTTGTATGAGGTCTCAAGCTCAGACTTTCACTGTGTCTTGTGTTAAAGCTTGCGTTTTGTAAACATCCCTCTGGGCATTAGAGCCGGCTTCTTCTTAATTGGTTTTTTTTTTTTTTAGGTAATTGATTTCAATACATGTGTATTTATTGATGCTCGTCTCAAACAGCAAACTGAGTTTTTAGGTTTTTGATATCAGGATTATTACTTGAGTGGAGAGAATCTAGTTACTATATGCAGAAAGATGTAGAGATTTGTTATAGATTTATTTAATGAGGAGGTCTATCAAAACTTTTTGCATTTTATTTTACAGCCAATTATTTCAAATTCCCTTGAGGTTTTCAACCTTGAAACATGAGAAAATCAAAATACAAGAAAAAATAGAAGGAAAAAAAAATTCAAATTGATTTTTTCGGATTTCATAGCACGAAATAAGTTATAAATTTTCAGCATTATATTTTCAAAGGGAAAACATATTTCATTTTTGATTAAAAGCTTGATTACCTGATTTTCTAAGATAATAAAAAGTGTACATATAGCCGGCAAAAAAAGAAGAAGAAAGAAGTGTACATGTATTTATTACGCCATGTTTATCATTGAAGACACCTGAAAAAAAGGAAATAGCATTTTTGCAATTAATCTTAATTAATACTACCTCAGGTTTTTAATATAAAATCTCGTTTGATTTTTATTTTGGTTTTAAATATAAGACTTTAATCTACTTTGTTTGATTGTTTCTAATATTTATGTACTCCTCCGGTCCTTATTATAAGACCCAATTTGACTTTTTATTTGGTCCTAATTATAAGACCCTAATCCATTTTGTCTCTTATATTTATGCATTTTTTTCCAAGATAATTCTTCTAATAATGATAGTTTTAGCCAATATACTTAATTAGCAAGGATATTTTAGGAATGACAACACTTATTTATTATAAATAACCAACTTAACTTACTTCCTTAATCTCCCCAAATAAGTCAATTGGGTCTTATAATTAGGACCGGAGGAGTATTAGTTAGTAAGGATATTTTAGGAAAAATAACACATATTTGTGACAAATAACTAACTTAACTTTTTTTTATTAATTTTTTCAGATTAGTTAACTAACTCTTATAATTAAGACCGGAGGTAGTACTTAATATTTTTTGTATATTAACATAAATTTTTATATAATAAAATATTTTATGCATTTTATCAAGGCATAAGTAGCGAAAATTACAGTCAACCGGCATTGTGATTTTGGTCCGTCTGAGAAAACGTCTTTAGGAGAGGTTACAGGCTTGGAACGCGAAGGTTGAAGGTTATGCGTACGGTGGCCTTACCAGAGCCGACTAATGTGTTGAACAATGACTTCCCAGTTCCTCTACAGAATTCCGCAGACGGCCAGCGTCGTCTTGCTAACTCCATTAGAAGCTGTCTGAGCTTGATTCATCATCTTGACCAAAGCCAAGGAATCACTCTCAAGTCTCGGCCACAAATTTTCTGAATCCCGTATTCTACGCTAAAGTCAGACCTCGTAGTGCGCTTTATACTACTGTCAAGTTATTTAAATTTTGAACTTAAGGTGCAGAATGTCATTTCCGCTTTAGCCCCGTTGCGGTCACTAGCGAGGCTCAACCTTTGCGGCCATGTGTTTGCTAAGTTTCCGAAGAACTGTATCGCTTTCCTGCCGATATCTGTCTGAAAAATCAAGTTTACGCAAAGTCTTCGTAAAATCGAGCAATCCCAATGATTCTATCATAAGCCGGCTTTGCCAAGAGAAGAAATTTAAGGAAGCCATTGATATCTTAAGTGAACAAAAGCGAGTCAAGGAAGCGGTTCGGTTGCTAGATCACATTGACCGACCCTCTTCTTTAGTATACTCAACGCTTATTCAAGCTTGTCTTCAGCATCGAGCTCTTGATGAGGGTAGGAGGGTCCATGCACACACCAAAGCTTCTAACTTTGTTCCTGGGAAAGTCATTTCCAATCGTTTAATCGATATGTATTCAAAATGTGGAAGCCTTGTTGATGCTCAGAAGGTGTTTGATGAAATGGCCGATCGAGATTTGTGTTCTTGGAATATTATGATAGCTGGTTATGCCAAGGCTGGACAGCTTCAACAAGCTAGGAAGCTGTTTAATGAAATGTCTCGAAGAGATAATTTTTCTTGGACTGCTTTGATATCTGGTTATGTCCGCCATGGCCAGCCAAAAGAAGCTGTGGAGTTGTTTAGAATGATGCAAAGGCATGGCGATTCAAAATTAAATCAATTTACTCTGTCCAGTGTATTGACTGCGTCTGCTGCAATTCAAAGTTTACATTTTGGGAAGGAAATTCATGGCCACTTAGTGCGAAGGGGTTCAAACTTGGATGAGGTGGTTTTGAGTGCTCTTCTAGATATGTATGGCAAGTGTGGGAGTTTAAGAGAAGCTAGGGGCATTTTTGATCAGATGGTGAGCAGAGATATTGTTTCATGGACATCCATGATTGATAGATACTTTGAAGATGGACAGAGAGAAGAGGGATTTGCACTATTTGGAGACTTGATACGATCAGGTGTCCAGCCAAATGAATATACATTTGCCAGCGTTTTAAATGCTTGTGCTGATGATGCTGTGGAGGACCTGGGTAAGGAGCTTCATGGTTACATGACTAGAGTGGGTTATGACCCCTACTCATTTGCTGTAAGTGCTCTTATTCATTTATACTCAAAGTGTGGGAACACAGAAAATGCAAGAAAGGTTTTCAATCAGATGCCTTGTCCAGATTTGGCATCTTGGACTTCATTAATTATTGGTTATGCTCAGAATGGCCAACCTGAAAAGGCTCTTCATTTCTTTGATTTACTGCTCAAATCCGGTCTTGAGCCTGATCAAGTTACTTTCGTTGGGGTTCTTTCAGCTTGTGCTCATGCTGGATTAGTAGATAAAGGGCTAGAATATTTCCATTCCATAGAAGAGAAGCATGGACTGATGCACACTGCAGATCATTATGCATGCGTTGTTGATTTGTTGGCAAGATCTGGCCGATTCAAAGAAGCAGAGAATCTCATAGATAAATTGCCCATAAAGCCAAGTAAATTCCTTTGGGCATCCTTACTTGGAGGATGTAGAATACATGGGAACCTTGAATTGGCTGAACGGGCAGCAAAAGCATTGTTTGAAATAGAACCAGAGAATCCGGCTACCTATATCACTCTAGCCAACATTTATGCTACGGCTGGTATGTGGGGTGAGGTAGCCAAGGTTAGAAAGGCTATGGATGTTAGTGGGATAGTGAAGCAGCCAGGTAAGAGCTGGATTGAGATCAAAAGGCAGGTGCATGTGTTCCTAGTTGGTGACACATCTCACCCAAGATCACATGATATACATGAGTTCTTGGGAGAACTCTTTAAGAAAATGAAAGAGGAGGGATACGTCCCGGACACAAACTTTGTGCTACATGATGTGGAGGAGGAGCAGAAAGAGCAAAACCTTTCCTACCACAGTGAGAAGCTCGCTGTTGCTTTTGGAGTTATTTCAACTCCTCCAGGAACACCAATCAAGGTTTTTAAAAACTTGAGAACTTGTGTAGACTGTCACACTGCTATCAAATACATCTCCAAGATTGTTCAAAGACAGATAATTGTAAGGGATTCAAATCGGTTTCATTGTTTTGAAGATGGGAACTGCTCATGTAAAGACTATTGGTAATACTTCAATTATACAGACTTATCAAGTGTTTTGACCTGAGGGTGAATTGACATCCTCCTTGTCAGAATCTCTGCCTGCGATGGCTGCATTAATAACCTTTGTTCCTAGTCATTTAAGAGGGGTAGCTGTCAAGCAAAGGAGGTAGATGCCACACTCATCTACAGTTGTCATATGGTGTTCTATAATGATCAAGATGCATGCCGTATAGTGTTGGGACACTGAGTGGTCGTCCAAAGGTATGTTATCTTTAGAGAAGTTTATACTAGAAGTCTTCTTATAATAATGGATCAAAGACAATCAATGTTAAGCCTTCTGTATTGAGTTGTCGTAGAGAAATTGAGGCAGGAAATTGTGGCTACTGAACAGTTCCTTCTGTTAAGGTGAAGATGATGAGGGTGGTGATGACCAAGCTGCTGTGGTTTTTGATGGTTTTGATGATCTCAGGCTACAGTTCAAAGTGACTACTCTCTAGTTCCCATTTCCTTCCGTGTCAGTTTGTTCTGTTTCATCTTGAGATCAGGGGCCTGGATGTCAGTCTAATACTTCCAGCAGAAACTGCTCTGAACAGAAAGCAGTTCTCTGTGGGGCCACCACCTTATGAGCTTTGGTGTAAACAGGAATTGGTCTTTGCCTGAATTTTAAAATGGCTAGGTTGGCTCTGGTGTAAGCAACTCTATTGTAACTCATTGTTTAAGCAGAGATTTTTTTTTTGGGGGGGGCCAAATTCTTTAAACAAAGATGATCCTAGTGTTGTAGATTATCTTATACACTTTATAATTTCTTGTTTACCTCGTATTTTTATAGAAATAGATTTGAGACTTGTTTCTGTTCATCACCTTTTCTTGCCAATTAAATTTTCATTAAATAATTGCAACAAGAAGCTTTATCCCACTTAGTGGAATCAATTATATGGATCGCACAACAATATTGTGTCGTATCTATCAAACAATTGTATTGCTCACAAATTATCCTAAGCAAGCCTTTTGGTCTTCTCTAATGCCATCAGACAATGATAAATTGATAATCTAGCAGACAAAGTTTTGGAAGGTAGTAGGCATGTATCAACAGTGGTAAATGCCAAAAGGGGCGTTTTACAATCGTCCTTTGTAAGCAAGCAATGCTACCTCCGCAAAGGGCCGTAAAGTGGAAGTTTTCCATGTGAATGTGTTCTTTTTTATTTCTTTGGCCAAGAAACTAGCAGCCATGTGGTTTGATGTCTTCGCCTTCAGTAGACGTCTATACGGAATCAGGTTATGATGTTTGAAAGGATATGATATTCCATTGGAGGGCGAAAAAAAAAGCATGATATTCAGCGTCTGTTAGCAGTGAAGATATAGCTAGAAAGGTGAGGCTGAGAGAAGCAGAGGGTACTCAAGTTGGTTATAGTGGTGATACTGGGAATTTCTTGAGATGATCAGAATAGTAATATCATTATCACAACAAAAAAAAAAAAACAGAGAGATAGTAATATCATTTTTTCCGGAATTTGTTTACCACTTATTACGCAGAAAGATCAATTGTGATATATATGGGATTTCCCCTTTTAATAATAATAATAATAATAATTTTTAATTATCTGACGGCTGACAATAATTAAAATTCTTAAAAGGTGTTTAGATTATTTTATTTGAAGTGATTTATATGAAGTAAATATTTGAAAAGAGTTTAATGACATTAATTTTTATATTCTTGAAATTAATTGTGACTAAAGCAGATGGAAACAGATTTATTAATTTCAACTTGAAGGAGTGGAATCACTAATCAGCACTAAATGCACTTACATTTTCATGAGAATGATCAGTTGCATGTTACATTTTTCTTTGGGAGAATCCTAATTAAATCCGGTCAAAATAGCAAAATTCAAATTAAGGCATACATTTTAAACAAATCCTTAATTAGGCCAAGAGGTATTATTAGAGATTTTTTAATGTTGTTAAAAGACTAAAATACCCTTTAATTTAGCAAATTAGTAATTACTCCAATCAATTTATAATCCAACTTTTTTTTTCTTGAGATGCCACTATATGGTCAATCGACTTCACCCGTTCTTGCTTCATATGTTGTTACAAGATTAAAATGTGTGATTTTTTTTTGTATGAATGTATATTAAGCAGTTCATATTACTTTATCAATCCCATCAAATGTTGAAAAATTATTTAGATTTCTAATACAAGCTCATATTAATTATTAGTATGAATTTTAGTAATGAGATTATAAGTTATAACATAATGAGAACATCTACATGGCAGATATAACAAAGCACTTAAGAAAGAAATGACAAATTTAATGCTGAAAAAATATACTAATACATTAAGATTCTAATTTTTTAACTATAAGAAAAAAAAGTTTCTATCAAAAAACTATTAGTTCAATAGTGTTAGAATCACGTAATTAAAAGTTCCCTGTTCTCATTACCCAACAAAAAAAAAGTCCATGTTCCCGTAAATTTCTAATCAATATAGTAGAGTTAATATATATATTTATATATATAATATTATACTATTATACTATGCAATATCAATTTTTTTATCTTAGTATTTCCAAATTTTCTTACGTAAAACATTTTTTATAAATAAATACTACTACCTCCGGTCCTTAATATAAGACCTCATTTATATTTTATTTTGATATTAAATATAAGACCAAAATTCACATTATTTCTTATATTTATGTATTTTTTCCTAAGATAGTTTTTCTAATAATAGTAGTTCTAGCCAATACACTTGATTAGCAAGGATATTTCAGGAAAGACAACATCTATTTATTATAAATAACTAATTTAAATTATTTTCTTAATCTACTCAAATTAGTCAACTAACTGTTATATTTAAGATCGGAGGTAGTATATAATGTCAAGTTTTTAGAGTTTAATTTTTTGTTCTCAAAATAATATTATTTTAAATTATAAAAAGGCATTTTAGTCTTTTAATAATATTAAAAAATTCCTAATAAGGCTTCTTGATCTAATTAGTAATTTGTTAAAAATGCAGGTGTTAATTTAAATTTTGATATTTCAAATGAATTTAATTAGGATTCTCCTTTTTATTTTGTCCTTTTTGTAGAATAGACGGAATATTGTATCAATAATAATAATAATAATAATAATAAAAGAGACTAGACGGAATCATTCTTTTCCTTGGGCCGGTTCACATGGCCATGCTCATGGCTAACCTCTTCCTTTTTAATTAATAATTAAACAATAATTGTTTTGCAATATTTGTAGACTTATAGTGCGACGAATCTTTTGATAGTAGTGACCAAATAGTAAAATAAAATTGCCCAAGTTTGTTCCCCCCAAGGTCGTTTCAAAAAATGCCGAAAGAACCGAAGATTAATAAACAAAGAGTAGGCATGTTAAATTTTTTGAATGATTCTTTTGTCATATCGTCATATCTACGGAGCCCTAATTTTTTCACTGGAGTGCATTCAAATGTGTATGTTTAGAGACATTTAAGGCTGTACACGGTACAGGATGGGATTAAGATAGGTTAGTATCAGTAAATAGGGAAGAGATGAAATTTTCGTTTTGCGTCTCATCTCATCCCAAGATCGGACAGACTGAGAGGGAACACTCCTGTCCCGTTTCTTTTTTTTTTTTTTTGACAAACCACTATAATTCTAGGCTTAGATCTTGTTTTTCTTGTTGTAATGTTTGTTTTTCGTTAGGTTTCTAAAGATAAAATACTAAAAAATATAATTATGTAGAAAGTCCAATCTATATATCCTATAAATCTTATAGTAGTTTTGTGATTAATCCATACAGTGATCTTGGGTGGTGGTTTTTTTTGCATCTCATTAGCTGTTAGGTGATGACGTGAGTCTCTTGTTGTATAATATAAAAAAAAGTGTAAAAACAATACTGTAAAAAACAACTACCATAAAAAAAATTATATAATAACTTTATGAATTATTTATTGAGGATTGAGATTTTTATTGAGATAATAATGTAACTTAAAGAGTTGAAAATTATTACAAAATAATTATTCTTAAAAAATAAATTAAATAATATAATAATAATTATTAGTAAGTAATTTTTTTAAAAAAAACTCGGGACGGGGGCTCATCTAGCCCCAGTATTATTTTGTTCCATTTTGTAGTCGTCCCGTCCCAAAATATTTTTTGTCCCATCACATTCCGAATTGATCTTTATCAAGACTAGGACAAGACGATCAAAACGGGACAAGTCGATCGAAACGGGACAAGTTAAACATCCCTAGAGACATTGTGTCACAAGAGGCATGCACCATCTTGACCAAAAAATAAAGCAATTCCCTCAAATGTAATTTATAATTAAATTTTATGTTTTTATTGCAGGGACAAATTAAATTTGGAAGAATTGCAATTAGATTTCAAGGAAGGGATTTAATTATTTTAAACCATTGACAAATTAAGAGCATGTTCTAGACTTCCAGTATAGAAAATGACAACTGGTTTATACTACTCACTTATTATTGGAACTTTTAGGCAATTAAATTTTTTTTCGTGGGAAAGGTAATTCTCCTATTAAATTTTATATTCAACAGATTAGCTGTGATTTATGGAAGAAAGTGACCGCATAATTTTTAGGTTCAATTTGGAGGTACTTTCTTTGTGAATGATTAATGCTACTACTTTACTGCCTCAAAGGGACAAGGAGTTGGGAGCCGTGTTTAAATGGAATCCATTTTCAATCTCAATCGAATTCTCCTCTTTTAAAATTCAGCCCAGCTTTAGTGTTTGGGTCAAAATTTTGGCGAATAAGGAAGAAAAAAAATCAGCAAACCATGATTTTGGATCAAAATCATGGTTTTAGATTCAAAAATTTCAGAAGAAATGAATCCATTTTGTTTCTGACTCAAATTGGAAAGTATGATTGTGTCTGTTAGAATAAATCTCAACGGTAATATGACTTTAACATCCCTCGATTATTTTTCTATAAACATATTTAATCTTATATTTTATAAATATATATACACATATTAATTATTTATTAATTACATTATATTATTAATTATGTTGGTAAAAAATATATTATTAGCAATTTTATTCCTTTAAATCAAAATATATTATAAAATCTATCTTTTATGTAATTATCATATTAACTTATGTCTTTTTTAGTAATTTGTACATACCAAAAGTACTTCTGATAATAACTATCCAAACACTCTCACTTTATCGGAATCACTTTTTCACAAAATCTATTCTCTAAAAGCTATTCTTCAAATCATGGTTTGGTTTCATTCAAACACCCTCTTATTCTCTTATAGTTTTTTGGCCAAGAAACATTCCATGTTATTTGATGATTTTTCCTTTGTTTTATCAATAACAACAATAATTATTATTATAATAGTAATAATAATTTTTTATTATTATTTCATTTAGAGGAATAAAGAGCGCACAGTGAAACTATGGTTAATTTAGATTGAGCTTGATGACTTGTACGGAGGCATTCTAATGATCACCTTTTCCCTGTGAACTAAGATATGTGTGTATCTGGCATGAAAATAATTAAAATTCTTAATCTCTTATTTTAAGGGAACATCACAAAAAAAGACTGTGAAATTTGAAAATTTGCAAATAAAGACCCACTCATAAAATTGTTGTCAAAACTTATGTTATTATAGTCAAAAACCCATAACAATATTGGTAATTTTTCAATCTTCACAGTTTTTTTTGTGATTTTTTATATTTTAATGACACTTATTTTTATCTATTTCTTCCCATTAGTTTTGA